TTACTTGTCATCGCCCATTCACTGAAAATACTACACAGTCTATAAACTACCTCTGAATAAATTCAGACTTGTGCACCTAATTCTGATTGTTTATGTTTGGTTGGCGCAAGGGCTGCCACGATTAGTCGACTAGTCTCGATTATGTCGACTATCAAAATCGTCGACGACTGATTTAATAGTCGACGTGTCATTTGAAGCTTTGTAAGATCGCAAAAGACGCAGGAATAAGTAGCAGGATTTAAGAGTGTAATAACGGACTGAAACAGAAGATGGCAGCACTGCATGTACAAGGATGCCAGCTGCCGTTAAACCCCGAAGAAGAAGAAGTAGCTCTGTCCCAGAATTCATAGCGCGGCCCAGCTCAGTTTCCAACAATGGCGGCAGCTAGTTTTTTTAATATTACTCTTTTTATTCTTTCTGGGTCACAAAATAAACGTTTAACATATTTTCAGGCGAGAATGTAGCTGTGTAAACCTCAAATATCTGCTCAGTTTATCAAGACACCACATATTTTCAAAAGCGCTCCGACGTTTTCGGAGACGTCTGTTACCCACTAGCTCGATAGCGAGCCGGGAGCTAGTGAGCCTAGAGCCCGTGAGAACACCGGACTCCCGGCAAATCGTTTTCAAACCCACCGCCGTCTTTCGCTACTCAGGTTAAACATGATATATAAGTCACTTAGATAACTTAAAAATGTTATTGTTTGGCTTTTTTCAGTATTTTATTTGTTCCTGAGTAAATCGGTTTGGCTGAGATTAAAGTTCTATTTTTTACACAGCTCAATAAACATCAAGCAGACAGCTGATTATCAGAAGTGTGAGATGCTCCAGAATTTACTCCGGTGTCCTGTTATATTTTAGATAGCAAGGAGCAGACGGCTGAGTTTATTAAACTTCACCGAACAATCTGCAAATTTCATTAAAATTTAATAAACTACCATCTTGTCTTTATTCTTAGTTAGCACCTGAAACACTTAAAGCTGTAAGCTAATGATAGTTATATAGGAGCAGATGCTGCTGGTGCAAGAAGTTGTACCTGTACGTCCAATGGATGATGATCTGATTAGTCGACTAATCGCAAAAATAATCGGTGACTAGTCGACTATCAGAATAATCGTTTGTGGCAGCCCTAGTTGACGCATCAAATTTTTTTCATATTGTGTTTGGTTTTGCACTTGCATCAGTGCAAGACTGTGACGAGTCCAATCTGATGGTGGACACATAAAAAATAGTATCAGCTGCCCAAAACATAATAACCATAGCAGGCATGAACAAGTCAGAAGTGAACACTAAGTCCTGCAGTGGCAATGTCTCTGTAGAGCTGCTATCACAGCATGTCTAACTTAGAAAAGTATAATCCTAAATTCTTCACATGCTCATGTAATCACCAGTTTAAGTTGCATATTTATCGCTTCCTTCTTTCAGGCCCAATCCATTTTCACATGTCCGACTCCGAAAAACCGTCACCAACGATCGCTCAGCTCCCATCATCGAGTGAGCTTTTTATTCCCACCGCAGCAACAGCAGCAGTGTTTCTCTGTGGTTCATCAGTACATCGCACCTCAGGTTGAATCCTGGAAAGAAGCACACTGGCTAATGTTAATGTTCTACTTTTAAATGTAATATTCTGTGTGTTTCAAGTATAAAGGCTGTTATAAATATGAGTACAGCCGACTGGATTTGTAGGTTGCTGGGGGAGAAGAGACAATTGTAACATGTGAGAAACTGCTTTAGTGAAGTGTTGGCTTTAATAGAAAAACTAGATGTTTAGATGTTTAGCTTCATGTTTGTCACACTGTGTCCGGCTTGTCCTGAATAACTAACATGCTTTAGTTTGAATTATGACAGATACAGTTGTTTCTTTTACTGTTTTAAAGAGTTTTTTTCTCCCTTTTTGGTTATTTTTGTGCCATATTCAGAGATGTTTTCTGTGTTCAGCTGATTTAGGGACTGGATCCTAATAGCAGGTTGTGCACATTGACTATGATGAAGTGTTATGGGAAGAGGACAGGCTCCTTCTCTATTACAGTATTATATTTTTTAGAAAAGCTGCCAGATCTGGTGCATTTTCTTGGTGCTGGTGAAGGTGAGCATTTAAAAGTATTAAAAGTGTGTGTGTGTTTTTTGTTTTTTCATTTTATTTTAACACAGTGATTGTCTGGATGAGCTACTTGACATTAATGAAACTGGCACAATGACTTATGTTTATGTCATGTTTTAGTTTCTGAACATGAGCGATGTTGTTTGAAGGCACAAGTCTGTCAGATACATCCTGTTGTGCCACTTAACACCATTCATTCTGCTGCTGTAAAGTTACATGTTAGCAGTTGCGAGTAGATGACTTAAAAAATTGCTTTCTGCTTGAAATTTGATTATCTAGAGTTGATCCATCCACTCGCTGAGTGAAATCATCAAAATTGTCCTCTTTTTAAATACAGAGCATCGCTGACAACACAAAGAAAACTCGTAAACTTCACAGACACAAACTGTAAAAGTTGGTAGTTGAATGTTTGGATAGTGGTATCACCGAAAGAAGTGTTTTGTTTGAAAGTAGGATGTCGTGGAGGGTTCAAAGTGAGAGATTTGCATGCTTAGTCTTTGGATTTGATGTCTTCTTGATTTCTTTTCAGTCCCAAAGCTATTCACCAGCTAGGCTGCTTAATTGTAGTTGTACGTCCATCAGTCAGACTAAGCAGAATCTTAAAGTGATGTATGGATGCTAAGACAGATGATGATTAGGTTTTTACTGAGAAACTGTATCCGTGAAAGTGATGAAGAAAGTATACAGGAAGTTGACCAACGTCTGAGCAAGTGTTCATGGTAATCTACAGACATCCAAAGTAATTTTTTTGTAGCTCTGTCCTCTTTGTTGCCTCTAACAAAGTGAAATCTGTGCAAACTGAAGCAGTTTATGTTCCTGGTTTAACTGCCTCAAGTTACTTTGATGTTTTAGCACCTTTTAGATTCATAATATCACCTGAAAAGCTTGTAGAAAAAAATATCTATCAGTATATATTGTACTCACTTTGTGTAGCGTTGCTTCATTAATAAAGATGACAGCAAAATGCTTTTAATGCATGTAAATAGTGCCAGAAATTGTGTGAATTTATGATTTCTTTGTAAAAATTTCACTTTGGTAGAACATTTGGGCTTTGTGGTAATACAGAGCAAACATCTGGAAAGTGCACAGCTGCTGGTAGAGAAATTCAGTCTTCAGCTCAGAGTGACTTACACAGAATGAGATACAATTGGTACAGAGTTTAGTTATACAATGTCACTAATTCAAGTTGAATTTAACCTTTAAAAAGCAAATTATTTAGTCACAAATACATTTAAAGTAAGGCAGAGAGTTCTGAAAGAATTGCATGTGAGATTAAACTCATTAAAAAATGTGAGCGTTACAACAATAATGTAAAATGAACAGATAACGTTATTTAAGTTTCAAACCTACACTCATTGCCACTTATGGTACACCTGTTCAGGTGCTTGTTAGTGCAAATATCTCATCAGCCAATCACATGTCAGCAACTAAGTACATTTAGGAACGCAGACATGATCAAAAGGACCTCCTGAAGTTCAAACCGAACATCCGAATGGGGAAGAAAGATGATTTAAGGGACTTTGAACGTGGCATGACTGTTGGTACCACAGTGCTCTGTACATTTCACAAACTGCTGATCTGTTGGGAACCATCTGTGGGGTTTACAGAGGATGGTCTGAAAATATCCAGTGAGCATGAGTTCTCTGCGTGAAAATGGCCAGACTCCTTTAAGCTGATAGTCAGGCAACAATAACTCAAATAACCACTACAACTGAGGTATGTAGAAGAGGATCTCTGTATCCACAAGACATCAAACCTAGAAGCTACAGCAGCAGAAGATCACACTGGGTGCCACTCCTGTGAGGAAAATAAGGTTACACTATGCACAGGCCCACCACAAGTTAGACAATATGGTATTTGAAGAATATTATCTGGCCATGATAGAAACTGTGAGGTTTTCTGAGGAATATTTCCAGCAACTTGTTGAAACTGTGCCACAAAAGCTCTGAAAGAAAGCAAAAGGGGATCCAACCTGGCACAAGATCCAACCTGGCACAAGATCCAACCTGGCACAAGCACAGTGTACCTAATGAAGTGGTTAGTAGTTCCCCTGCACTTTAAATCAAAGCTGAACAACGTAGGCGAGAGCTGTCCCGTCACAACTCAAACACAAGTTCAGAACACTTCTGTTAGAATTGAAATGGCTGTTCGACATTAGACACATTTATTTATACACTTTATCTGCAGAAAACAATGCATCTATTCAGACACTACTGAATATAACACTACTATGAATATTTCAGAGGAACAGACTTTATCTGGACTACTAATGCTTACATGTGAAATAAAAGGTCGATGAAACAAGCTTTTGCATGATTTGTAAAACTGAGATTTCTGCAGAGAACACACAGTTATATTGTTATTTAGTATATTCAAACTTTGTACAGGTGAGAAGAAATAAGAGATATTGAAAGATATTTTACAACCTACTTCATGTTTTCACTAAAAAAACAAAAAAACAAAAAACAAAACAAAACAAAAAAACGGGGTATCCATGCATGAGGGGTGCGAGCAGAATTAAAGCTGGTATGAAAAGAATTTTTTATACCAGCCTTAATCTGATTACAGCTTCTTATTTTTAAACTAAGCCACCTCTGAAGGATCAGAACTGTGTTGAAGCTTAGTTTCAAAACAAAAATCTTAACCCTGAGTAACTTAACTGAGAAAAAAACTGTTTCACATGTATGTATGTTTGAGAGGTAAAGGTGTAGATCAAACTTAAAGCAACTTAAACTGTGACTGATCAACTCTGCTTCGATTTCACAGCAAAATACTTATTAATGCTGTTACTGATTACAGGCTTTGTTATTAATTAATTCAACAGAACCAATTAGACACTGTTGCTATAGTTTGCACATCATTAACCTAAATGCACTGAAATAATACAGATGAAACAAAAGTAGAATTAAATAGAATCTTTATTGTTGGACACAGACATTGGAGGCAACTATTTAGACAGATATTAACATGAGAAAATCTGAAGTTATAGATTTTTGATCCAATCCAAGTTTCTTCCTTTTGGTTCACGTGGATGAGCTGGAATGTCGGGCATGTTTCCATCATCTCGCACGGGAACTGTGAAGAGAAAATAAGGTAGGAGTTTTAGGATGCTGAAACGTCAGCTTTCAATTACACTCGAACCTGCTGTGACATAAAGATCGCCAGTGTTTACCTGGGTAGTTGTACGGCACAGCTGCGTTCAACATTGCTGTATATTTTGTAAGTGGGCTGATGAACGGAAGAATGGCACCTGAGAAAAGACATTTGAACACATAGGGCATTACACTCACAGTTCACTGTGCCTCTATAGGTCAATTGAGAATAACTGAATCATTGCACAAGGTGCACAGTCATACAGAAACATAATAAACACAGATAGCAACGACTCTGACTGGCATGGCTTTAAGTGTCAATATAAAGTTACTCATTTAAAATGCTGATTTATGAAAATTCAGACCAAAAGATTTTGGAGCCCTCTGACCAAAAACCATTTGATGTTAACTTGTCCGGCATTTTGGACAAGTTTCATTAAGAAACTGTATACACACTCCTCCCTCATTGAATTGCTTTGTTTAGATTCTTTAGCTTACTAATTTTCTCCAGTTTGAAATGAAATAATAATGCAGAAGAAGTGATTTCATGTTAGTTTTCACAACAAATTCCTCCATGACTCAAACATCCACATATCTACTACTGTGGAATCAGCAAAGACGCTTCAAATCGCTGGTCGTTGAATAACACGAGTAACCAAAGCCAACTGTCTGCAGTACATGAAGCAGAGTAACATAATAGGCGGGCAGATGGTGATGCCAAGTTAGGCGAGATTTTAGAGTCAAGCTGCCAAATAGTTTCTTAAATACACTGCTGGAAAGTTCATGGACAATGACACTGTTATTTTCTGATTATAACCTGATTTGATATTGGCCACAAAAATTCAGTAAATTCTGTATTGTGTTGTTAAATAATGTATTTATATCGAACTTTTCTACACCTACTTACCACACAAAGCACTTCAATCTACAAGTCACATGTTATCCAAATAGCACTGTATTCCATAAACTTTAAGCATATAGCTGCCCCACATCCACGGCCAGTTTCAAACCACCAACATGCATAAAAGTTTCAACTGTGAGAGGACACTGGAACACAGCAAGGCTCGCTGGTGAAGTACACCATTGTACCACCTCTATACAACCCACTCTCTCTCTCGTTTGCAGGTAGTTCAAAATGCAGCTGCTTGACTCTTAACTTGTACAAAGAAAAGGCAGAATATCAGTCCTGTTTTAAGCCATAGATTACCTCCACAATATATTACAGATCTTTTAACTCCAGGTCACTGAGGTCATCATCACAACAACTTCTCTCATAAAAATTAAAAGTGATTGGGTTTTTGCTGTGTTTGCCCCCTGGCTCTGGAATAGTCTGCTACCCCACATAAGAAGCTGTTCAACAATAAACTGTTTTAAATCAGCTCTAAAAGATCGAAGCTCTATCTACTTTAAATTGCTTTTTGTCAAGTGTGAGGTGACTCGTGGATTTTAATTGGGTTCTTGAGACCTGGATTACAAGTGACTGTGCCTTTAAAGCACTTTGGTCAACTACTGTTGTTTTAACATGTGCAATATAAATAAAAGGACTTGACACACAAAGACTATAACGTGCTTATTTGTTTTCTTTATTCGGTCTTTCCATGCTGGACATATAAATCGTATACTCAGTTAAATTAAACTGAACACAAGACAGCCACGCTAACATAAGCCTAAAACAGCGGATTATTGTGAGACGTATAATTCAATTCAATTCAATATTTATTGGCAGACTTCATGTCCATAAAAACAAGGCAAGAAACACACACACAACACTCCCCCCCCCCCCAACACAAGGTATAAACCATTATATAGTATAGCTAGCAATCTTCTGATTAATGTTTCATGTTGCCACACTGTCATTCATCGGCGTTGCAGAACTGCCATTGTATGTTATTTAAAGCTATGCTCTCTCTCTCTCTCTCTTTCTTTATCTCTATCGCTGCACCACTCTCTCACAGATTTCTAACAGGTTGGCTACTTACCAACCAGTCCAATTCCACAAGAAGCCATGATAACCGGCTCCTTGTTCCACGCATTCCTCAGGAAAGCTCCGATTCCTGCAGACAGAAACCCACGGGTAGGTTAAAAACCGCACCGAGTGACAGGCTACGTACGGTTAACCAATGCTAGCTAACGTTAGCAACACATCCAAGGTCACATTTTTCGTTTTATTGCGAACGAATACATCGGAACTAAAGTACTTCTAAGATCCGGTTAGAGTAATTTTAAATATATAAGGCATTTATCTGTACTGCCCGAGGGTCCAAGTAAACCGAATTTCACTGATTATAAGTCAAAAAGATGACAAAATATACACATACCCGCCATATTGTCTGATGTAGTTTCCACCGAGCGAGTTCTCATGGGAAATGTAGTGACTGCTAAAATGACGTATAATTCCTGCGCCCGCCGCACGAAAACAGAGAGAGGGAAACAGGGGATCCCTGGAAGCTTCGGGATTGATTTAAGTCAGCTGTCATGCTATTAAACGGCCTTAGCTAAAGCTAAACAGAGAAAACGACACTGCACGCAGCTTGTGCTCAGGTTGATGATGACACTGGTCGAAGTGTCGCTTTAAACACACGTTAAAAACATCGTTTCGGGACTAACAAATGTAAGTACTATTAGACTAATGGATTGTTTTAGTACTAAAGAATAATCAGGCGTGGTGACATCAGAAGTCTAAAACACGGGAAATTCTTGATTTGAACTTTTCAGCCGTTTTTACTCCACTGGGAACCCCGATCACTATATCAGGCTTTTACTGACTCACAAACAGCTGTTGAGTTACTGTAATTACTATCCAGATCTCAGCATCGCGCAGTAAAATAGTAGATTTAAATTTTGTATTATAAATTTATATCGGCAAATAATGTGCAACTAAATCTTTAAGATAAGTGTAGCGGAGTAAATCCTGAGCACCTCTTTTGCTGCAGGTATTTCCGCTATAAAGTCAGAGGACAGCTGCTGTCCACGTGGGTCAATTTCAGCCACTTTGCTTCACATACAAACTGAGTGGTTGGTTAAAACACCATCGCTGGCCCTAGGCAGTGAGGCCGTTGAATCCTATTTGCCCAGTGTATTTGCTAGTATTTCTTCTTGATGAATGACTCATAACCGCTGCACAGGCTGTTTACATTAACAGAGAAACTTCTTTCCCTCCAGATGATGGAGGATTTTTCTGGCTTGGCTCTGCCTCCTTTATTTGGAGGTCACATCCTGGAAGCAGAACTGGAGCCTGGTGGTGTGGAGCTGGGACCGGGAGAGGTAATTTTATTGATCTTTATAAAGGTGCTTGTCATGTTAGCACACGTGGTAACACTTAGTTAGTTTGCCAATTAATACAAATTCACAGCTCATTTAACCAAGTCTCCAATGTTGCCAGCAGATATGAATCAGTACACTGATGCAGAATTTATATAATATAATAGTAATGCTGGTCTTAAAAACCTTTAAATGAAGAAACACCTGTCATTATATTTGTTTAAACAAGACACTCATCCTTCACAGACATTTACTCCATTTTTTCTGTCTTCTTTTTTGGTTCAGGAGTTTAGCTTTTTTAGTTTTCTCCGTCTTTTCCCTTAGAAATGAGACTACATTAGTACTCGGAGAGCTGACCTTCTCCCTATGAACTTCGATCCTCTGTGACACAGATCTCAGGCATGAAAAATGTCACTGAATAGCTGCTACTTTACACATCATTGACCCCTCTCCTTTCCCATTAGAATTTTTAGAATATGGGGAGTTTGGCTCAAAGCACATGGTTACACTCCCATGTGCTACCTACATTTACATGTATTGGAGATTAATCTTTCTAATTCATTATACACTGCATAGGAGTTTTTATTTCCTAGCTCTTGCTGAATAATGTGGCTATAATAAGATGACTTTCTGCTTGACTTGGGTTTTGCTTTGAAACATTGAACAGGTAAAAGTGTTTTCTTGTGAGAACAAACAATGTGATGCCAGACACAAAACAGAATCCTGCTTTTGTATTTGTTTAGGTGGAGCTGGGTCCAGGAGGCACCGAGCTGCTTGAGAGCACAACACAAGAAGATGAAGAAAAAAGAGCTCTTGACAAAAGGAAATATGTGGCTCTGAGCAGGAAATGTAAAGAAATTGAACAGGTGTGTGTTATGGTCAAAAAAATGATACGTGAATAATAAAAATGACCAGATCAACACCACTGAAACGAAGCTTCACACAGCAGTGCTGCAAACACGCAGGTACACAGCCCTCCCCTCACTAGCAGCTAAACAACGCTTTGAGGTGTCAGTAGAACTCCACTTTCAACAACACTGAAGTATTAAAATGTTATGATAAACATTAACCTGGCTGGCACATTACTGTTTTATTATTATCTAATAGCCACATTATCTATCTATCTGTTAAGTTATTAAGGTAGTGACTATGGCTAATAATAAAACTTTGTTAGGGCTAGGCAGCAAACCGTACCAGTTCTGCCCATAACATGTGATGTTAATGGAGGGTGTTCATTTAAAAGTAACACATTACTTTTATCTAAAAAGTGTTACATTGTGTTGTTAAGTGCCAGATTGAGTCAGAGGGAAGTGTATCGGCAGCTAGACCAAAACGGCTGACAGAAACATTAATGAATCTATTTGATCAGCAGTGAAAGTCATGAGAAGCACAGCAGTGACTCACACAACCTAAAATATTGTTTGTTTGGTTTTTTTATGTAATATAAAAAAACTGCTCTCATTGATGTTATTGTTTTTTTTTATTGTTTTAATCTTCAGAAATAATGCCTCTTCTTTTAAAAAAAAAAATAATTATTTCTTCTTCTTTTTTACTAGTAATAGTAGTAGCTTCGAACATAGTATTGAGTATTCAGTGTTTTCCTGAGTATCTGTATCAAGTTTAAATTCTAGTATCTAGTAAATGGTTTGTGCGACCTTACATCGCACAGGCCTGACTTCTGATTCAACTGTAATTATTTCAATAAGGTTTCTGAATATTCTCCTGCTGCTTTAATATTCTGATATATCAGTTCATCATTGATCCAACACATGCACTTTGTTCAGGTAAATCAGAAGATCCTGGGTCGCCTTCACCAAGTGCAAAGAATTACTCGACGTCTGAAGAAAGAAAGGAGGTATAAACTGTCATTATAATAACTGAAGATTTTGTGTGTTTTCTGAGAAGTTGCTCACTTTATGGCTCATCTGTGGGTTGTGTTAACTCTCACAGATTCCTCATGAAGACCTTAGATGCTCACGGGGATGACTACAGAAACGCTCAGCTCACTATACTGCTTGAGGTAAGGATTACCAAACATGGGTGGATATCAAAGACAATATAAAAGATGGAAGTAGCTTCTGCGTATGAAAAGTGAAGCCAACGCATTAGTGCAGGGTTAGGGAACTCCAGGCCTCGGTGTCCTGCAAGTTTTAGATGTGTCCTTGATCCAACACAGCTGATTTAAATGGCTAAATTACCTCCTCAAAATATCCTGAAGGCTGTATCCCAATTCAGGGTCTGCAGTCTTAAAGTACGCAGCCTTAACGGTCCACAAGGGCCGCATACTCAAAGACCGCTAAGGCCGAAGTGACAGGCTTGTGAAATGGGACGGTCTAGCCTCCGTCGTGCTGCCCAGGTTGCCTAGCAACCATGACACTAACAGCTGGAAACATTTCATACAGCATTATTTGACAGAAATGAAGGAGAAAAGGTTTTGTTCATTTGTTTGTTTGTTTCTACATGAGCTTTGATTTGATAAGTATCTGAGGCTGACTGTGAAATCATGATTATTGGGCTTCACTTCTGTACTGAACAGTCATTTAAGATTAGCTAGTAAATAACAATTAGCTCATGTTGTTCATGAGACTAAAGTCATCTCACTTTGGTAATGTAAATATAATATGGCCAATATTAAAGTTATAATTTCAATCATTATTAGTTATTACAGCAGTGAATGATCTCTGTTTCAAATACTGAGCTTCAGTAAAGATTCAAGCTGCATTTATTTATATTATTTATATTTCCTGTCACCTTAAATCTTCACTCAAAGACAGGTTTCTTTGACACTGTATATATAACTGTGTTATATATATGAGAGACACATATGTTCTTTTAATATGTTGGCATTACTAAATTTGTCTCAGTGCTTAATTTAAATATCCATAAAATCATCACATTCTCTGTAAGATTAAGCTCAGCTATTGAACGGCATATATTAAGTAAAGGCTTTAAAACCAAGTTAGTACAAACGTCACTAATGTCACATAACTTTGCCGACATGTGGCCAACAGTAATGTTTTAATGTTCTTCGTTATTAAACATTCGCACATAAATAAGTGACATCATATTCAGTACTTACTTTTAAAAGTTTACTCTCCGGCCGCTCCTCTTCTGCCGTTTTTTTTTTTTTTTTCCCCTTTCCGGCAAAATTATCCACACCCACCGCCGCGCTATGCATTCTGGGATATTTTGGGCCACGAAGTCTACACCACCACATCCTTAAAATTCAGTGAAATGAAGGACGCATTTGAGGGACGCATTTCGAGCAGCCTTTGAATTGGGACAGTCTTCGTCGCATCGCTGTGACGCAATTGGCCTTAAAATGCGGCCTTTAAGGCTGCAGACCCTGAATTGGGATACAACCGAAGTTCTCCAGAGGCCTGGTAATGAACTAATCATTTGATTCAGGTGTGTTGACCCAGGGTGAGATCTAAAACCTGCAGGACACTGACTCCCGAGGCCTGGAGTTCCCTACCCCTGCGTTAGTGCCTTAAACCTTCTTTTTAATGGATACCAAAGCGCAACTTCTCTGGGTCCAAAAAGACTTACTGTATAGAAGTGTATGGGAAAATAACCTGTGGCTCCCTCATTCTGTGAAACCTTTCCTGATGTTGGTAGTTTCAGGCCAGGGCAGTAGGCAGGGTTTTCCTTCAGCTTTCTGTTTGTATTAATTCTTCTGCTTTTGCTTGCTAAACTTTGAAAGGTCCTACAGAGATAGTTATGAATACTATTTTGTTTTTCCCCTTGCCTTTGTTTCAGGATGAATCTGGAGCCCATTTGGAGCCGGCTGCTGCAGCGGAGGATGAAAAGCTCAACGGTGTTTCCGGTTCCACTCCATCTGCAACATCACATCATGTGGCTGGGACAAAGAAAAAGAGGCATCGAATTCCTCGTCAAGAAAAGGATAAAGAGCCACAGGTGAGTAAAGCTCTTTCCTGATCAGATGCTGCCTGTGGACGTTTAACTGTGGGTATGTTAAAATGCTGGTAGTCCAAATCACGGACCTTCTTTTCTCAGATCGACCCGGAGATGTCGGCGTTGGCAGAGTCACAGTTTGGAGAAATGTCCAGCCCGACCTCGCTGTCTCATTGATCAAACCGCTGTCCTGGATATCACGATGATGGTGACTAGGATAAGAGCACCCAGTTTCCAGGACTGTTTAAAACACTGCTTTACTTGAGTCAATCTTTGTAATGTTGTGGTTTCATTTGAATATTGTGAACAGATTGAGTTCATGTAACACGAGATGTTATTCACCTTATATATGTGTATATTTGTTTTGTATATACGAGGTTATGTTTTTACAGTTGACAGTTGATGGCAACATATTTATGACAAGCACGTGATGTTGAAAACATGATTTGATAAATATTTGACGTATTAGATGAATATGACAGGGTATTACTATCATTACTTGAGTTAGGATTTTATCCGAGTAAGCAGATGGACTCGTCGTCATATTAAACTTTTACGCTGTGCTGTTTGGGTTTACTTTTCTGTGATTTTGTTTTTTCCCTCTTTTGTATTCACTCATCTGCCTTCACATGCTCATGGACTTAATGTGGCATCTCATTCTTAATCGATGGGGTTTGACATGATTTCACCCCACCTTGTGAAGCTATAACTGCTTCTGCTATTCTGGGAAGGCTTTCCACAAGGTTTAGGAACGTGTTTATCCAAATTTTTGGCCGTTTTTTCTGAAGCACATTTGCGAAGTCGGTCACTGATGTTGGACGAGAAGGCCTGGCTCGCAGTCTCTGCTCTGATTCATCCCAAAGATGAATGCCATGAGGTCAGTCAGGCCAGTCAAGTTCTTCCACACCAAGCTCGCTCATCCATGTCTTTATGGACCTCGCTTTGTGCACTGGTGCACAGTCATGTTGGAATAGCAAGGGACCATCCTTAAATTGTTCCCACAAAGTTTAGAGCATGAAACTGTCCAAAATGTCTTGGTATGCTGAAGTATTAAGAGTTCCCTTCACTGGAACTAAGGAGCCATGGCCAGTTCCTGAAAATCAACCCCATCACCTGTATGGAAAGCTTTTACACAAATATTATGCCTGAATAACAAGTTTCAGTTACAGTTTGTTTCTGTGTTAAAATAAAAAATAAAAAAAAATGCTAGAGCAGTGAATTTGACATTTATTCATCTTTTTAATACCGTTACCCCCCCCAAAAAAAAATATAGATAAAGATATGAGAGTGAGAGAGATGTTAAATATGACATAAAAAACGTACATTTAAAATAAACATTACACAATACACTTACCTACCCCTTCATTTGGCACACAGTGCTTTCCTTTAGATCTGTCTTAATTCTTTGTGGCATAGATTCAGCAAGGCGCTAAGAACATTCTTCACAGATTCTGGTCTTTGTTGACAAGATGGCATCACACAGTTGCTGCAAATTTGTAGGCTGCGCATCCATGATGCAAATCTCTGCGGAGGACATTTGAATACAGTGAACATTGTCATGTTCAAGAAACTAGTTTCAGATGATCTGAGCTATGTGACATGGTGCACTTCCTGCTGGAAGCAGTCATCAGAAGATGGGTACACTGTGGGCATAAAGGGATGGACGTGGTCAGCAGCAATCCTCAGGTAGGCTGTGGCGTTTAAATGATGGCCCAAAATGTGCCACGAAAACATCTTCCACACCTTTACACCAGCAGCAGCCTGAACCATTGATAAAAGCCTGGGTGGATTTGTGTTTTGATGTTGTTTATGCCAAATTCTGATTCTATGATCCAAATATTGAAACATCAAACCGGATAGTGTTTTTCCAATTGTCTGTAATGCATTTTTGGTTAACCTGGTGTTCTGTTGCTGTAGCCCATCTGCTTCAATGTTTGACATTCTTTGTATTTATATATGCTCTTCTGCATATATAAGGGTGGCCTGATGTCAGTCTTTAAAAGGAACTGCACAACATTGTTATTCCTTGTCCCCGTCCCCTATCCTGAGACTAAGTCCAACACTGTGACTTGCTCTGCAGGACATGCACTTTTCTAAAGTCTGGCTTTTGCCCAATGCATGTGAATTGTAGTCAAAGAAAGACTAGCCTGTCTAATTCTATACTAATTAGTAAAAGATACCCAGACATCACGAGCATATCAGATTTTGGAGAAAACTGCCACAAAGAAAATGAAGTGGCACTATATTTTCAGAGATAGAAATGTTGTCTTTATTATTATTATTATTATTATTATTATTACTATTATTACTTTATACTAGTTATTTTTCTGTTTCATACAGGAGCAAATATGTTATGGAGTGACACAGTATATGCGTGTCATAATTGGCTAACAATTGTTAATATTTTTAGGTGTGGCTAAATAACGGCACGGCAATCTATGGATTTGATTTTGTGACAAATATCAACATGATATTTGTCACAAAACATTTAGCATATTTCTGTTTTATTTCAGCATATTTTTAAAGTTTTGGTTGTTTGTTTATATTAAATATTGTTCAATCCTTTACATTGCAACATTCTAACTAGTGGTAAGAAATTAAATTAAAAATACATTTTCAAATAACGAAACGAGGTATACAATTTCCACACAATGAAGTTATAAGTTCGTAAAAAAAATAAATAAATAACTATTTAAATGTAGAAATTTGCATTTTTGTGAACCTCGGGCGGGTTTGTGTCGATCATCGATCGTCACTTCGCTGAGCCAATGGCTGGTTCTCGTTCCAGCGGATGTTTCGCAATGACAGGCGTGAGATATATCCAATCAGAGTGTATAGATTGGATTTAGGGCGGGATCCCCAGCAAGGAGGTGGGATTTTAGCTACCGTCCATCTTCAGCTACATTACAGTGAGCGAGCTTGTCGAAAAGAAAACACAATTTGGAAGTAAAGAAGACTTTCTGGAATTAGTTTTGGCTCTATTTGAAAAAAGACAAACGAAATCCCATACCCTAGGTAAATGTCGTACACAAGTATAAATCTAGATTGTCGGCTTGACCCAGTATCCCTTTTTCCTAAATCTGACTAGCTGGCAAGCTAAGCTGCTAACTAGCATTTTATGCATTAGCTAGCATGTTAGAGATTGGAACGGATTCTGTTATTATTGTGCCTTTCACAACGCAAAACCACAATATAAAGACTGTGCTGGACCCCAAATTAATAATGCATGAATATGAAGTTGTTCTGTCAGCATGCACCGGGGCAGTTCCAGGAAACGGGTCGGTTAGGAACCGAGCGAGGTGGAGAGGCTAAGCTACTGGCTAGTATTAACGTTAGCTGAGTAGCGTTAGCGTGCTAGGTGGCTAAATTTAGCTGACAACCATGTCACTTGTGTTGGAAATATTAGCAAGGTGATATATGACAATACTAGGATGGAGAAGTGGCCATAGAAAACTTTATTTTCATTGAGCGTGCTTAAATTCTGAAGCTGTGGTGTTATTTAGCTGCTAACGTCAGCCGGGTAGCTAGATGGAGTTAATGTCAGGTTCACTGTGGAAAGCGATGTAACGATTCCTCTTTTGGAGGGATTTTTGTTTGTATTGACACACGCTTCGATTTCTTCACCCAGATAACTTCGTGACAGACGGAATGTGGACATTGTCGTAGTCAGAGCCATGGCTGACAAGAGAAAACTTCAAGGTAAAAGAAACTGTCTTCAGTTATGTTGCACAATATGAATCACGTTGTAGGGTCTGCTGGTGTACAGGAAACTTTATTTCCTCTTGCATGCTCTTACTGTTTTGAAAGAGTTTATAAGGTCTTTTGGTAATGCATCATATTTTTTGAATTTGTGCAGGTGAAATCGATAGATGTTTGAAAAAAGTAGCTGAAGGTGTAGAACAGTTTGAAGATATCTGGCAGAAGGTAAGAGATTCTTCCATTCTGTATTTATTTGTCTATTTAGTAACTAATGAGGAAAAGACACACAGTATCTAAATGATTTGTTTACATTTTAGCTCCACAATGCAGCCAATGCAAATCAGAAGGAAAAATATGAGGCTGACCTCAAGAAAGAGATTAAAAAACTTCAGGTAAGAAAGCTTAACAATGACCATGTAAGTATTCAAAATTAGCTATGTGATTTTTAAAATGCTCACCATCTGTGCTCTTTCAGCGATTGAGAGATCAAATAAAAACATGGGTGGCCTCAAACGAGATCAAGGACAAAAGGCAGCTAGTTGAGAACCGCAAACTTATAGAAACGGTATGGATCTTCACAAGTGTACTTTAAAAAAAAAAAAAAGTGTTGCATTTATATTATGTATAACTAAAGTACATTGTTACATCAGACCTGAAGTAATTAACAGCTAATTGGATCTTTTTTTTTCTTTAGCAAATGGAGCGGTTCAAGGTGGTGGAACGTGAAACAAAAACAAAAGCCTACTCTAAAGAAGGCTTGGGGCTTGCTCAGAAAGTGGATCCAGCTCAGAGGGAAAAGGAGGAAACGGGACAGTGGCTAACAGTAAATACATTTATGTTTATCTATGCTTCTGTGCATGATTTTTTTTTTAACCATTTCTTTGGAAAAGGCATAGACAAAAAACTTAACAACGTAACAATTGTATCAAATCAACCACAGATATTCCCAAAACATGGTTAAATTAATAAGATCTGAAAAAATTAACACTCTTTTTTTTTTCTCATCTGCAGAATACAATAGACACTCTAAATATGCAGGTGGATCAGTTTGAAAGTGAAGTGGAATCTCTTTCAGTTCAAACAAGAAAGAAGAAGGGTGATAAAGAGGTGAGTCATCCCATGTCACTCTCTGAAAGGATGTCTGTTTCTAAACTGTCTGGTTAAATTTTAACTGTCTGTTAAATTTTTGGTTAATATATCCTAACATACATACACACTTGTTTTTTTTTGTCTTGTAGAAGCAAGATCGTATTGATGAGCTCAAGCGGTTGATTGAGAGACATCGATTCCACATTCGAATGTTGGAGACCATTTTACGAATGCTGGACAATGACTCCGTGCCAGTGGATGCAATCCAAAAGATCAAGGATGATGTTGAATATTACATTGACTCCTCTCAAGATCCAGACTTTGAGGAAAATGAGTTCCTGTACGATGACTTAGATCTGGAAGACATCCGTAAGTAGAGCACTGTCTAGTGTGCGAGTGTTCGGTTAAGTTTTGCTGCTCTTGCTTTACGATACCAGAAATTCTAGTCAGTTAAGAAATTATTCTCACTTCATTAATGTAAACCAGCAGTTACCTGTTGGTTCAAAGATGTTATGATGCCACCTGCCACTTACCTGGGGTGCAGCTCTGGTAGATTAGCCCCTCTCTCTCTGCACTGGGAAGTTTTGTACAAAGTAAGATAGATGAACCAGCACAGCTCCATTGTAATTGGATGTAGAAAGTGATTATATGTTATCTGTGTCAGAGTAAACTGATACACTCTGACTCGAATGAAGTGATGAGAAAATGGACGTTAACCTGCTGGTAATACTTGGTTGGTCCCACTCAGCAAACTAATCTGCATGCGTGCATGTTGTACACAACACAAAGTGCCACACAGTTCAGTGGCATTTAAACCACGTTTTGATTGGTAAACAGTGTTACATAGCACAGCCATGGTTTCACCAAATCCATCAGTTCCTGCAGTGTTTTGAATGTTTTCATATTGTTTCCTTCCTTTTGGGCAACTAGTCTGTTCTTTCTTCTTGTTTTAATGACTTAGTAAAATAGTTGTCATGTTGATGTCATGACGATATCTGATGCTTATCTTTATGTCCTACTCTTCTCTTGTAGCTGCAGCATTAGTTGCAACTTCACCATCGGGCCAGGGCAATGTGGAAGATGAGGTGTATCTCCACTCTAGTAGCACTCCCACTTCCACCACCTCTTCTTCACCCATCCCTCCATCCCCAGCCACTTGCACTGCTGTGAGTTTGTGTCTTTTTTTTTTATCATTAAAGTTTTGGTCCTGGTGTTAAAGGGATGTTGGATAGTTAAAGAACATTCTTACACAATTGTGCATATATGCCTGTCTCTTTAAGTTTGCACTTGGTTAACCCACCCACATTCCCCATTGTATTATAATCCACTGGCTAGTATGTTGAATCTACATTTCAAAAGTGGATTGTCATATCAAAGTATCTCCTCCTATAGGAGAATTCAGAGGACGATAAGAAAAGGGGACGGTCG